GAGAAGATTGTACCATACAATGTTGAAAACATTGTATCTGATAATGCTGAAAACATTATATCTGATAATGTTGAAAACATTGTATCTGATAATGTTGAAAAGTGTCTAGAACAAGAAACTGTTGCAGTGAATACAGTGGAAGAAGAAAATTTATATGAGTTTGGAAGACTGACTGACAAAACTTTGTCAGATGGTGAAGAGTCAAATGAAGGCTGGTCAGAAGATGAGTTCACACACGGGAAAAAAGCTTCAGACATATTTTACGGTATGCCTCCCATACCTGATTGTCCTGATCCTATTGTTGAACCCGTACCATTTCATAGTTTAGGTCCAAATGATGATATGTTTGTTCGTCAAACGTATGATAACAAACAACAACTAATATTTGCTTTGAGTCTTAAAGCTACCAGAGAAAAGTTTCAGTTTAAGACCAAACATTCTAACAAAAATCGTTATGAGGTATATTGTGAAATTGAGAACCGTAGTTGGCGTTTATATGCAAAACGCATTGTTCCCACTGATGAATTTGAAATCAGGAGTTTCAACAACGTGCACACATGTTCGTCATTACAGATACACCCTAATCATAAGCATGCTAATAAAAAAGTCATGGGTACTATATTGCATGAGATTATGGGAAAAACTCGTTCCAAGGTTTGGAGGCCTAATGATATATCAAGGGATTTGAATGCTTTGCTGGAAATTAATGTAAATTACAAACAAGCTTGGCGTGCAAAACAATATGCTATGGAATTGTTGTTGGGATCCTCTGAGGAATGTTTTTCCAAACTTCCTATTTATTTTCACAATTTGAAGAGCCATAATCCCGGTACAGTGGCATATATACAAACAGATTCTGAAGATTGTTTCGAGTGTTGTTTTTATGCCATTGGGAGCACGGTAAATACAAAAACTTGTTATTTAATATATAATTATTTGTAAGAAATTGTAGAGTGTTTATGTGTTCCATTTTAATATATTGCAGATACGAGCGTTCAAACGTTTTTGTCGTAAAGTTATAATTATGGATAGGGCGCATTTGAAGGGTGATTTTAAGGGAACCATATTGCATGCAGTAGCTATGGATGGGAACAACCAGATAGTGCCCCTTGCGCACGGAATATGCAAAAAAGAGAGTGGTCTTACTTGGACATGGTTTCTTGAAAAGTTGTATGAATGTGTTGGTGATTGTCAAGAATTGACTTTTGTAACTGATCGGGCCGATGCAATTCGGGTTAGTGTTAAAAATGTTTTCCCTCAAGCTCATCATGGCGTGTGTGCTTTTCATCTACTAGGAAACATAGTACACAAGTTTGGGAAAAATGACAAAACAAAAGTGTTGTTTTGGAGGCTTGTGAAAGCTTACAAAAGAAATGTTTTTGAAGAATTGTGGTCTAGATTTAGTTCTACAAGGCCGCAAGTAGCGGCGTATCTAAGTGAAATTCCGCGTCCTAAATGGACTAGAGCATATTCCCCGTCGAAACGGTACGATTACATGACCTCCAACAGTGCAGAGTCCATGAACGCTTTATCTGTAGATGCAAGGAAGATGCCTATAATACCCCTTCTTGAGTTCTTCCGTCGTCTTTCTCAGGAATGGTGTAACAAGCGTCGCATCGATGGAGGTATGAAATTAATTTAGACTATAATTATCTCTAATAATAATTTCCTGTAAAAATATATTCTTTACAGGGAAACGTTCAACAGTGCTAACCGAGTGGGCTGAAAAATTAGTTAGTAAAAATGAAGAGCGTACGACAGGATGGTCCGTTTCTGGTGTTTCAGATGCAATATATCAAGTGCATGATTTCAAACATGGTGCCATAGTTGATCTGAGGCAAGAGACTTGTACATGCAAATATTGGGAAGGAACTGGGTTGCCTTGTGGTCATGTCACAATGGTCTTAAAGCACTTGAAAAAAACTAACTTCGGACATTTGGCTATAGATGCTTACAAAATGGAAACGTACCGGAGTACGTATGAGGAGCTGGTTTACCCCCTTCCATAAGCGTGTGACTGGGAGATTCCTTCTGAGATGATGGTTGTTAAACCCCCGATAATGGATACATGTCAAGCTGGTAGACCAAGAAACAGAAATCGTATCCCGTCACAAGGTGAGGAACCTATAGTAAGAAGGTGTAGTAGATGTGATAGTACAACACATAATGCAACGACTTGTCTGGCATTGGTCCAATGAAACCAAAAAAGGCTAGAACAAATAGTGCGCCATCATGTCGTAACACAAAAGGGAAAGGGAAAGGGACACAAATGACTCAGGAGATGGTAGAGACGCACGGGACACAAGAGACACGCTGGACGAGTGGGACGCAAAGAGAAGACTATTGTTCAACGTTTGATTTGAATGATTGATGGTGTATTTATTATTAATTATGTTTTGTTTTAGAGGATATTAATTTGTGTACTTTGAAATGGTTTGTTTATTTTAAAGATGATTGATAATATTATGATTATCAATTTATGTTTTCTTTTAGAAGATATTAATTTATGTTTTGTTTTAGAATACTAACTAAAAATCGAAGATAATACATTCAACAAACCAGAAACATATAGCAAACGTACAACAACAGTAACTAACTTAAGGGAATTGCACATGTACAACAACAATAATTAACTTAAGGGAATTGCAAAGGATACTTTTCTTTCTCCGTTGTTATGTAGTCGTCCCTAATTCGTATTTTATCTTCCATACGGTCCTTTTGCCTCCGAAGTTCTATCATTTTCGCATCCTTGCCAGCTAGCCATTTTTCAGACAGTTTGATATTCTTCTTAGCTGTTTTTATCCAATCCTCATGATCTTTGATTTCTTTTTTAGTATTCGCCATCCTTTCCTCAACCTCTCTGCACTCCGCCGCAATGAGGTCACGACGTTCAGTGAGAGCTCGAGATGACGCTTTATCTTTTTCTTTTGTTCTTCAGCCCATTGTAGTTGTTGCAAAGTATCCTCAGACATATACCCGTCTCTTAAATTTGGTGATGGGGCAAGAAAAGGGTCGATCGGATCACAATAGAAACAATCAACTTCGTTGCACGAGCAAATATACAAACTTGAAGATGAACTCATTTGTAAATTTATAAAATATTTATAACTCTATACCAAAAATCCAACGACCATCCATGACTATGTATAGTCCCTTCAACTCCGCAAAGAGGTGTTTGTCAGTCCGCAGAGTTGTTTGTCAGTCCGCAGAACTGTATTGTCAGTTCGCAATAATGTTTGTCAGTCCGCAGAGTTGTTTGTCTAGTCGTTGTCCGCAATAGTGTTTGTCAGTCCGTAGAGAAACTTTTTACCCGTCTCTTAAACGTTGTCAGTCCGCGTTACTGACTTGTCAGTCCGCGTAGAGAAACTTTTTATATATATTAAACGTAGTATCTATAGGAAATTCAAATCTTTAATTGATAATAGAGATCAATTTACAAAATGGCGTCCAATGTACCAAGTTCTTTGAATGCAGCAAATCCATCTAATGCAGCCTCTCCAACAAATGGTACATCTCCATGGACGACAACAGAGTTGTTGGTCCTAACACAATGCTGGATTACCATTTACGAGGGTATACCAGTAGTGGCTCCCCCTCATTGCCTTGTAGGTGATGAATGGTCCCGCCTAATAGCTTTGTTCAACTATTAGGTCGGACAAGGACAAGAACGAGTAAAACCTGATATTGTTAGTAAATGGATGGATTTAAAGTTTAAAGTCACATGGTTCAATCGATGCTACAATCATGAGAAAATGCGACGCTCTCAAGCAGATGATGATGAACTTCTTCAAGACGTGAACAGATATTACTTGTGCGAGTTTGATGGAACTGATTTCGAGTATACGGACGTTTGGAATCTGGTAAAAGATAAACCTTTTTTCATGTAGACGACTGTTTTATTTCCAATGTTTTATGTAATGTTTATTAGTCGTAAGAAACCTTTTTCATGTAGACGACTCTTTTGTAATGTTTTTATGTTATTTGTAATGTTTATTGTGTTTGATTGTATGGTTTCGTAACATTTGTTGCTGAATTATGTTTAAAAATAAAAGATAATTAGCAGATTACATACTAGCAGAAGTGACTACATTACATACTAGAAACAAGTATTTAATATTAATATATATATATATATATATATATATATATATATATATATATATATATATATATATATAAAGTTCCTAATATCAACTTATATAGTTAGGCCTATATAGTATCCCAAATAACATTTGCCATCTTATTTCTGTAGAGAAATCCCGCATCTCTACGTGCCGTAGAAATCTTCACTGGTACCCCCGAAACAATCATTTCCATAAACATGCATACAAATACTCCACAATCCCCTCTGTCAAGACTATATTCTTGTTGTGGCACGTCTACAACATCAACAAACTCCAGCTTTGCTTTGTCTTTGTGTCCAACGGGGAAATGGTTCCAGTACTCAATGACATCTAACTCTGAGATAATACTATCTCCAAAACTTGTGAATTCTCCACCAGTTAAGTACTTTGAGAAGTAACCCGCAATTCGTGCTGAATCATAAATTTCTACTTTCTAGGTATCTAAATGTAGCACCGCCATAAACCAATGGGCACTAATAACATTTATTACAAATAGAACCTGCAAAAAATAATATAAATTAAATACTCATAATTTCAGTAATATTATATTTATAAAATAATAATTATTAAAGTTAACTAACCATATCCACATCCTTCCATTTAGGACAACCTCCAAAACCATTTGCTACATTCCTTAAAAATAATGATTTTCCGGGTTCCAAATTGATTTCTTGTGGAAATAGCGTCCACCTAACGTTCGCCGGCCGCCTTTCCATCAGCAAGGAACTCCATATCGCAATATGCTGTACATTTTAAGATAAAAATGTTAGAATTATTTATATAAATTCTAGTCTAAAAAAATAGTTAAAATTTTAATTAAAGGAATGTTACCGAAGAAAGTAACCACCCTTTGTCAGTAACAGAAAGTAACCTCGATCAAAAATCCATATCTAGTGGGAAAATATGCAGCCTATGTTTAGTGATGAGTTTGGAAGAGAGCACACTCCATTCTTTCCAAAAACTCATCGGACTATTAGTATAAATATTGTCCAACAAGAGATGGTTTGAAACATCACTACTCTCTGCATTGATAATATCCTCATTTGTTTTTTTAGGACTCTCCTCTATTTTTTTCTTCCTTGTCTTGCTGATTTTCTTCAATTTTGCTGTCGATTGCATCTAAAAAATCAACATGTTTAATCATTATCAATAATGTAATATTTTAGAAATATACCAAATTTAAAATATGAGTTTTTTACCACTGTGAACGGAGTCCGCTGATACGATGCAACAACCCTCTTTCGTTGCGGCCTACCAATAGGAGTCACTATTTTTGTGTCATGTTCACCCACGTCTTGTGACGGCTCACCATGCGTAGGTGTAGGCACAACTTTCTCCTCCAAACCACCATAGTCGAACTGTGTATCATGGTAATATGGTTCTTCATCCTCTTCATTTATCATCTCCTCCTCCTCCTCCCCCTCCTCTACAAACCGTTTGTTTGGCTCATCTTTTTCATGTAATACACGATCTACTTTAGATGATAACTCAGCCACAACGCCTAGTAGACGCTTCACTAATGCCTTTGTGCTACTCTTCTTCTTCTTTACGACCCTCGTTGATATGTCGCTTGACGTATAAGTTGTTTCTATTTCAGGATGTTGCGAGGAAGAAGCATTTGTGGCAGATTCAGTCGAACATGTATCCGACTTGTACATAGTTCTTCGAGGAGGCGAGGCAACAACAGGTGGACTATTTCGGACCGAACTATGTTGCGGTGGAGGAGACTCTTCATGGTTAAGAGTCCAATTGACGCCGCGAACATAAAACGGCAACATCAGCTCCGTCTCGTTTGCCACGACTGGAATAGGTTCGTTGTTAGGCTACAAAAGTTTAAATCAAATTGTTAGTTTAAAATGAAAATACGTTGGAATTTGTAAGTATAAATAATCCTTAATATAAAAAGCATACCACAAGCACGTTGATTATTCGACGACAATTATCCCAAGATAACGGTGTTTTACTTCTCCACGACATCATCCGCGGCAATTCTGTCGGGATGCGTACATAAAATTTGGTTGCCTCGGGGAACGTCTCCAAAATCCAGATCTATAGAAAGAAAATTTAAGTATCATGCTATTATATTTTATACTACAAACCGAAGGTCAATGTTATTATCGTATAAAAACAAAACAATGATAAGTAATTAAATTTATTAGAAAATAACCTTAAACGGCAGCATAAAACTAGGAACGGTATACTTGTGTATTTTCTTGGATTCGGGATTGGCGTCCTTGAATTGTCTAAATTCTACTATTTTCTTAAACATTCCACGCATCATCCGCGAAGTATACCTCCAAAAATACGTACCCCATGCAAACCTGCAATTTTCATATTGTATATTATAGTTATTATTATTGTATTCTATTTTTAAACAATATTTAAATGTAATACATGTTCCAATCATCTCTATTATCAGCAAGCTTGTATATTGCAGCGGGAATGCACGTTTTAACGTCTCGTCCGTGGAGTCCCTTCAACACAAAAACAAGCTGGATAAGCATCACAACATCTTCATCTTAAACTGCCAAATATTTTGGAGACATAATGAAGTCTTCCAAATCTTTCAACCGCATACGCGCATCAGAAATGTCTGGGAACAACCGAGCACGAAGACTTGAATTTGACCGGGCTTTTTCATCGTGGAGTAAATCCACATAAGGACCAACTTTTAAACCACAAATGAGAATATATTCCGTTTCACCAAAATCCAAATGCGTCCCTTGTATATCAAAAAAAAACCTCCCCATTTAAAATACTTCTTGAGACCTTACTTCGTGCAACATCATCAAATGCACAAGTAACGGATCACCATGTGGGATATGCATATTAAGAATATTCCAAACGGCGAAGCTTCGAATAATTGTCGTTGTGATTGTGTTAGCCGCGGAAAATAGTCTTTAATGATAGTACCCACCACACCTTTTAAAGTTAAATCCGCTTTTTGATTGAGATCTAAGTGCTGCAAAACATAAGATTTAATTTAATTTAATATAAAAGGACATAAAAAATAAATTAGGAAATTATGTTTAAGGTCATTCCGCGGAGGCTATAGGTTATTCCGCGGAGAAGCCTCTGCGGATAGACCAAAACCTCCGCGGAGTCTCGCTTTTATATTCCGTGGAGAAAATACTTCACTCCGCGGAGGGTCCTCTGCGGACTGATATAACCCTCCGCGGAGTGACATACACCTCCGCGGAATGGATCATCACCATTTCCGGAACCCACCTGTCAAACTCCATTTTTTCTTATCTAAATTTTTTAATTTTGCCTATTTATTCAGTGTAATATAATCGGTTTTCAACAAATTTCATACATATACTACATTAATCCAAAGAAAGGAATGTGAGAAATACCCGGGAGCCTAAACCGTCGCTCAAAATATTGGGGAGATTGTCCTCCATTACTGCCGGAATGACAGTTCGTAATCGAAGTCGTGGTCGCCGGTTTGGACGTCGGAAAATGACGTCGTTTGCTGTCGTGGTCGCCGGGTTGCTGTCGGTGTCGCCGGAATCTATGGTGGTAGGTCGATGCGGAGAACCGTCTTTGTCAAAGAGGAATCGGGGGACCAGTGGGGGGACCACAGAGGAGGGTCCGATTTTGTCAAAAAGAAGATGGGCAAATGACAAAAATACCCCTCTCCGCGGAGGTAAATCCGATCCGCAGAGGTCCGCAGAGGGTCCTCCGCGGAATGCGTGTCTATAAGTGGAAAAGTCAGTTTTTATGACTAAATTTTGAAATTGGCCCCCTTTTTTTTGTCTATTAGCGGTATTATCCCTATATATAAATATGTGTGTGTGTGTGGGGCTCACACCGATATAACCGGAATATAAAGATCCAAGTATCTAGAGTGCATAGATGATGTCCCGAATACGAAAAACAAGTACTTTTTACGTAATATTTGTATTTTATTTAAGTTTCAGACATATATTCACCATATAAATACAATAAAATATGTGAAGCATGACTTTTCGTGAGGAACAAACTCTTCCTTAACAATTCGAAGTGATTCTGGAGAAGTATTGTCACTCCAAAATATGAAGAACCAAGTCCGAAACATAAAGATCCAAGTATCTAGAATGTTGTTGTTCTGAAATGACCCTTCGAAAAAGCAATTAAATATATGTTTATTTTTGTTTATGATATTTTTTAGTTAATTTTGATATTTATATGCGTTAAACCAATATTCATATTAGCCCGAAGATCACTTTGCGTGGATATTGTTAAAAAAAGTAGGTTTTTAAGGACAAAGAAATTGTATTCCATTTAGAGTATCTTTCGGAATTGTGCCTCACAAAGGTAAAACTATATTCAAAAGTTTTGTCATAAATATAATGTATTTTTATGGTAATACATTATAATTATGTTGGATTTTTTTTTTGGTAGATAAAAAAAAAGATGTAGGTAACAAAACAAAAGGTAAACCACAAAGGGCACCTATAAAATTAAAAAATAAATTAGAAAAAGTGTTAAAGGTTAATTGAAAGCAGATAGAACTCAGAAAGATGGGACCAGAGCAAGTTTAGAAAAACCTGTTATTTTAGACTAGTTGCAGCTTTATAGTTTTTTATGGATACTTTTTGCAAGTTGGTTTTAATTTTGGAACATCCTCTTTATTTAATACATTTTTTAATCTTGTTTAATTTCAGCCTACAACATCTAGTGACTCTTACTGCAATATCGATGATAAGAATCGAGGAATACATGACCTATGCAAGAACTAATGACATCGTCCATATTGGTTATCAATGACACTTCCCTACCCTCTCTGCGAGTTTCCTTCAACATCATCAGGAACTAGGTACAAGAGACGATATTATTTGCCACTCCCAAACCAAATGCTATAGGGAGGGTCTCGTTGTTACCATCCATAGCAACCGCTACAAACATTGTCTTTAGGTAGTCCCATCTTATATGGATAATGTCTATATAGATGACACACAATAAGTAACCTATGAATAGATCGAGGTGTATTTTTTGGGAAAACAAGACAATTAGTTTTAGGTGAAGAAACCTTATCAATTTTAAGGAAACAAAAAAATATGGAGCAATATAATTTTACCACACTTCCAATAGCCACAAAATAGAGTTAGAAACGATCCATCACGTAAGTTTTGATGCTCATATAAGTATGAGGGTTGGTAAAGCTTTCTTATTTCTCAGTCTCAGAGAAACTCATCTTGAAGCAGTTATAAGAGATAACGCAACATCCCATACTTATATCTCAGCATACAATCATTTTAAAACCAACAGAAACATCATTTATTCATTTCAACCGGTAGTGGGTCTTTTTCACCCCCCCTTTAGTCTCTTTTAACCGGTATCAGGTCTATTTCACCCCTTACCGCTCAACATACAATCATATCAGCAAGAGTCACAAAGACAACAAGCACATACATGCATAACACTAAGTGTCACAAAGACAATTATCATCCTACAAACATAATCCAATGGGCCGACATTGCTGCCTTTGACCCAAAAGTATAAGGAAGGAACTCACCTATCAAATGATGATCAACTACAACTTCTACTATTATTGCGAAAATAGATCCTACCAACCACCTATACAACCATATAAAGTACACCCTTAGCTTTTATTCCAAGAGTAGGGGTTTAACCAAAAGTCAACACAAGTAAAAAAGTGAAAATCAATTGTCAAAGTTGACCCTCCACGTTGTGTCCATCCTTGGCCACATTGTAGCCCTCAAACGACAAGATAGTCGTTTTTTCCCCATTTGCCACGCCATAGGCACTGGGTTCAAAATGGCTTAATGGGATAAGTCAAATCCTCCAATTTCAAATGTTCCAATGTCCAGATTTGATCATTTCTAATGTCTAAATGGAAAATGTTTCCACATTTATCCCTTGAGACCCACCAAGAAGTTTAGATCTGAAGTCTAAGCTCAAAAAGGCTAAAAATGGCAAGAACTCAACCATTAAGCACTTAATCCCGAAATTCCTTAGTTAAACTTTTCCAGAATGCTTCTAGGGCTCTAAATGGTCCATAAAAATCTAAAATTTATGGACATGCATGACCCATGCATGCCCTTCTTCACACTAGGTCAAAAGGGAACAAAATGACCCAAAATCCTTGCATGGTTCTCTTAATATTACTTAAACCAATCCAAAAAGAACCAATCATGCTCCAAAACCTAGATCTATGAAGAAGAAAACAAAAAGGTTAAAGCTTGAGGAATTGCAAGGATTCCAGAAGATACACGCTAGTAGAGGAAAGGATCACTTGTTGAACCAATCACTAGTTCTTCTTCTTCTTCTTCCTTCAAAACCACCACAAGATCACTAAAATGACCACAAGAGCACCAAGGAAGATCAGGCTTACAGTTTCTGGGTTTAAGAGTGATGGAGGCCAAAGATGGGCAACCCTAGCCTCCCCACTTTCCTTTAAATACTCGAAAATTAGGGTTATCATGAAACTAGGTCGCCACACCGTGGCCAATAGATGCCACGTCGTGGTAATCATTAAATGATCTGCGAATCTTCCTGCATTGCCACGTCGTGGGATGCCTTCACCATGGTGTGGTCACTTCCAAATTTCAAATTTAAATTAGAATTAAACGCTTCAAGGAATCCAGATGTTACAACTCTTCCCGACTTGAATAAGACTTTGTCCTCGAACTACGCTACTGCAACCACCTCT